ATACAAGGATCCAAATGTACTGTAGGTGCCAAATTCTCCCAGAAATACATTTGATTGGCATTTTATATGGTATTTGATATATTTATTTTTTTGTTAAATGAGTGTTCACATTTTCTCTCTGTGATGCTGTTTCTAAGCAAGTGAAGAAATGTGACTTTTTTGGGACTTAAAATTGCATAAATGTAATGATTTATTACATTTGTGTGTGCACTAAAAGTCTCCACTGACAAGCTTCAAATTGGATAAAAGAATCCTGCAATTGACATGAGTGCCCGATTATCCACTTGAGTATTTTTATTTTAGTCCTTAATTTAAGAAAGAAATATTACATTACATGTTAGACGCTTTTACCCAAAGCGACTTACATACTCAATACTGTGGGCAATCCCCACAGGAGCAATTTGGAGTGAAGTGTCTCAGGGACACAACGACATGCTGACAGCAGTGGGGTTTGAACCTGCTCCCCTGATCCCAACACCAGCGCACTAACACACTGGGCCACGCGCCTCCCAAATATTTAAATGCAGGCCTTTAATTTCTAAAAACACCAGTGTTAGTTATGACAAATCCTTCTCCTGGTTATGTTTGAAGTTGTCGCAAAAAATAATGATGTTTTGATGAGTTTTAATTAGAAATGTGAGTAAGAGCACAGGGACCAGCTCGGCGAACCCTCAGCTAATAATTATGGTAAGTAAGATGATAATTAACTGGGAAATGTGTCACATCGACCTGTTGCAAGTTCAAATATTGATATGGGAGAGGGCAGGTAATTTAATATATCATTATTTATGTGTTATTTGTGGCTTTCAGAGTGATTGCAAGTGGAAGTCATTAAATAAGGAGGTTGTGTTTGAGTCCTAAAATCTAAGATGAATCAGTCTCTGACTTTGAGAGGGGAACATGGTTTTGTATTGTGTCATTTTAGACATGAGAAAGGGACATTTTGGAGGGAAACTACTGCTGTAAGAAGAGTGAAAATCTATATATTTGCATTTCTGCATGCATATATGTCAAGGTCAAAGGTCAAGACACCCCCTCAATATCTTCCAGCCGCCATCATTCACGCATCATGTGCACGAGGTGCGTTCAATGGCCGCTGGCTGCGTGACATTTCTGCAGCCCTTTAGGTTACGTCTGGCATTAAAGAAGGCCCCAGAATTCAGGGGCTTACGTCCAAAATAGAAGAAATATGTCAAAAAGCAGCTGCTGTTCATCCTAATGTGGTGGGTAAATTAAATTCCACTTTGGGAAAACAACCACTCCTTAAAACCGAAGAGTGAAATGTGTGAAATCAGATCATCAGGGGGAAATGAAATCATTACACATCATCCCAGCTGATTTGCACTCTTTGTCTGCAACAATGTGACATCTTCTGTCTGGCACAAAGAATTGATTTTATGATTTGAAAAAGGTCTTATAAGGGAAAAAAAAAAAGGATGATGTTCCCAAGGAGGTTTTAACAGGCGTGCGGATCGATAGCAGAGACTGTTCAATGATGCAGCGTGGCGGCCAGAGATAGAAATTAATCAATAGCAGCATCGGAGAAACGTCCAATTTATTCTGCAGACGGTGGTGATTGGCAGCTGGAGAGGGAGTACAATACAATATCAGATATTACACAGCAGGACTGCAACATTGAAGATGTTAAAAGACTCCATTAAGTACCATAAGGGTGGAGAGAAACTTATACATTAACTAAAGTGCAGATTTTGAGGTTCCTTATCCATTTGATGCCTCCTTAAACGTCTAATTAATAATAACTCTAAATTAATTAAATATATAACACGGGTCTATTCATTTTTAGACAATCCAATGCAAAAAAGTGACATATTTTGCCTTTAAGTATTTTTTGACATTTACTGTTTTTTAATGATCAGATGGATCTGTTATAAGGTATGTAGAGTAGCGTTTGTAAACTGGGAATAATTCATGTTAAATTAATATTATTAAATGTTAAATATTGTCTTACTTTGATTTGGATATTGGAATTGTCAATATTTCAATTTCTTATTTTTTAAATGATTGCATGTTCTCTCTACGGCTGAACAAAGTCAACCCTTAGTTCCCTGAATGCACACAGTTGACCACATGCACCGATAAAAAGACCCCAAAGAATCAACACCTTGCCCCAGAAGCAGGTTGTTTTTTGGGGGTGATTTCGCAGCCTCCTGCCCCTCCGGCTGGTTTGTGGCCGTACAAGTTTTTTTATCTCGAGAGCACGATTTGAGGGATTTCTCTGAGACTTTGATCTCTGCATCCATCCAGCTTCAATACAGCTTAACCCTTATCACCATCAGCCCAGAGACCCCCGGCATCAAGACGGATTTACAGGCAGGGACCCCCGGTTACTTCCAACATGTAATCCATTACAGATTATTAAAGATTACTCATCAAATGCTCCCCAGCTGTTGTGAGTGACGGCCGTCAGGAACTAAGATTTCACATTTAAACAGCTTTTTGTTTCAAACTGTAATCATTTGAATCTGTCATTATTGAAGACTTTCCAAAAATCAATACTCATATCCTCTCAAACATCAGTGGGTTATCAAAACATCTATCAAACATGCATCAAATATATTGGGATTAGGCAAGTTGAAATATACTTATTTTAATATTGAGATGATTGTCAATCAGTTCATGTTTTTATCTAGAGCAATGTCATAATTCATCATAGGATGCTGAAGGTGTTTCATTTGTTGTAATGTTAAAAACAGACTTATTCATAAATAGTTCCTCCATATAGGATTCCTAACAACCCTACTTACTAGCAAGTCTTAGTTTTACATCAGTATATTCAAAATGTATTTATTTGAGATGATGGTAGGTGAATAAACTAGTTTATCGAAAGCAATCAGGATCTCTACAGGATGAAGGGTGCACTTAGCAACTCTTTCTCTAAATCTAAAGAGAACAGAGAATTATTGGAATGGGTTACATTCCCTTCAGGGAGTCTCTGAGCTACATCAACGATTAGCATTCCCTGCTAACATTGTCTAAACACTTGAATCAGTGGATTGGATTATTTCCCTGAGACAAAGCACAGAAAACACACAGAGGATCTCAGGAGACGCACCTCAGTGATTTCAAGTTAATCCAGAGCTCATTATTTAACCTGTGTAGAAGGGATTTACCGTGTCACTCAATTAGAACATGAAACAACAAGTGGCTTCAGTTACACAGGTTCTACTGGGAGTGTGAGATTATTACGCTTATTAACTTATGCTCAACCAACTGATTTAATATTGGCAATTTTAGGGATAGAAATGTGTAATTTAATAATATTTGTAGGTCTGAAGTCGTAAAGAAATATCTATTGAATATATACATTTCTAATTTTATATATTTTAAACATTTTCATATGTTGTTGTACATGAAAACATACTTGGGAAAAAAATAAATGATCTGAAATGTACATTTTTAAATATCTTTACGATTAGTTGTCTGAAGTTGGACAAGCAGAAACAAATTAACCATAATGTGACCTAGTTGTTTAAGGATAGTCATGATTGGAATATGCAATACAATGACCCAGTGTGGTTTTCTAAACACGTATCGCCTCTTTTTACAAATAAATGCCATTGCAGAATAGTATGGCAGAACAAAAGCTCTCCAACTCCCAGGAGAAGAGAGGGAAAGAGAAATAGTTTCAGCGCTGTGAGGAAGATAGTAAAGAAAAATAATCCGTGGCCCTCCGAGGGGAGAAGTGGAAACACAACACTTGAAAAAGATCTCCATTATCTGTAATCGCAAACTATCTCTCCTCTCAAAAAGAGGAGATGCTGAGGGAGTGTTTGAAGAGGGCTGAGGCTCTATAGGCTGCAGGACTCAGGGGTTTGTTTGAGGATTATGAGGACGTTTACAACCAGAGCGAGGGCGCGGTGCGAGGGGCCCCGGCCTCTGAGGGTCCCAAGCAGCTCTGCATCCCTGCAAAGACTGATGGACAGCTCCAGTTCACACACAGTGAAGAAGGGACACATTTGAAAAGTGAAAATGCTTTTCCAAATACACTTCACTCTTCATTCCCCTTATACCTTAAGTCATAAAGCAGCTAGAGTGCAGCTGTAGGATGCTGCTGAATTGGAAAAAACACTGATTTGAAGAAAAGTTGAAGATAAAAGTGGCATTTTATTGATCCAACAAGGGGGAAATGTAATTGTTAAAGCAGCTCAGAGTCCAAAGCAACGCAAAACAAGTTATGAATACAAATAAAACAAGATAAACATGAATTATGAACTTATCTCACTGGAATATTGCACCTATGCACCACCCTATACTAAAAAAAAGGTATTCAAACCGTGGCTTGCTAAAACTAAAAAGTGTTTAGTTCTAATTGAATAAATAGGATAATACACTGCCCTCTGCACACAAACCAACATTCATTTGGAATAAAGTTGTTGAACAATTCAAGACAATTGCAAGCAAACGCATGTACAAGTTGCTTTAATAAAATCAATTAAAAGGTTGAAATATCTATCTACCAAGTGGAATTAAAACTGTGACCTGCTCCTTTAAATTGACCCTTCAAAGCCATCCTGTTGTTAGAGTTCTCTGCATTGCAGGACACTGGAGAGGTTTGCTCTTCATCATATTCAACTGAATACAACACAGGAGCATTTCAATAATATACAGTATGGTAAGTTCTCCATCTAGTGTCTGTAACCTGCATTACGATTTAAAGTGAGTCACTGAAATAATATTATATAATTTACCCTCATTGTAAAAGGCACTAGTCCAATTAAACACAATTACTTACAATACTATCAAATATCTAAATAATAATAATAATATTAAAAAGTGTATGTTTTTAAAGGTTTGATAGATAGGGTATTCTTCTGGTTGGTAAGAAGAACATGTCTTCTATTATGTTTTATTCTTTTACATTTTTTTCTTTTCCAAATAATTACAGCAACCCACATTTTAAAAAACAACGGTAAGAATTGGTAAATATTTGACAACGTCAGAAAAAAATTGGAAAACGCTGGGTCCTACATTTCCCATAATGCAACTTGGGGACCCACCCTGCTTGTGTGTATCTTCGAAGCTCCTCCACGGTTTGTAGTGCTACTTTCCTGTTGTAAAATATGTTTATAATCTGAATTATGTGTTTACATTCGACTGTGAAGGGAGGCAAGAAGTGTTTGCATGTTTTACACAAGTTAAAGTATTAATATGACGATGTTTCAAGTCTGTTATAACTGTTAAAGTCCTTTGAAGGTATTTGCATCACAAAGTTATAACATGTTGTAGCTGTGTGATTTGGAGAGATGTCGTCATTACTTGACTGTTGTAAATGTAATACTTAGTATAAGTCCATACAATGTCCAATGTTCTGCTTTATTCCATATGTCACAAAAGGCACTTTAAAACGTTCCTGTGAGGTCTTTCAACCTAAAAAAAAAGACAAACAAAATAACCCAAACATCTTTTTACTGCTAATTCTGAGCCTACAGTATTTTTACTCGTTTCTTATACTTTTACTTAAGTAATATTTAGAATGCAGAACTTGTACATTGTGGAAATACTACCTTAATTAATTAACATATCTGAAAACCACCATTGCTGTAGTTTGATCTTCAAAGGTGCATCATATCCTTTGAGGATCAAATGTTTTCACATCAAATCTGGATCTAAAAAGTAACTTGTTGCCAAAACATTTCCCTCTCTTAAACACCCTCTTGAGTTAAGAACAAGTTCCTTAGAATGAAGACAAATAAATCATTATTGATGGTTATTTATCACTTTTACCCAAGAGGCAAATCCCTTGCTTTTACTCTGAAAAGGTCCAACAGGAAACTGGGAGGGACACCATTTGAAAAGGACAAAGCTGCAGCTGTTTGGAGCTCCTCCTCCTCCTCCTCCCCCTCCCCCCATGTGAATTTATATAAGTGTGTGTGTGTGTCACCCTCCCCTCACTTCACTCACAGAGATCTCATTATAGGTTTCCTGTGAGATTCTGCAGTATTCAACTTCTCTTCCTTTAAGGACGATCCAAACAGCACAATGGTGAGTATTAAGGCCTTGTTTTTATTTCTTACACCCGAAAGAAAAGTATCATTTGTTGTATTTTAAGTGAGATTCTGAAGGGAAAAGTTACAATCCTACTTTTCCTGTTGCTACTGCATACTTTCCCTCCAAAATCTGTCACATCCTGATATAAGAAAAATGTCTTAAATCAGACTAAATTTCTTAAATTCTTCTACTTTTGTGTCACTATGCTGTTACTAAAACCCCTTGCTGCACTATCTTAAAAGTGATTTGCATGTTAAAAGAGTGGAAACATGTACCCAGGCTCCAGGAAAGGTTAAGTGTTTCCATATGTCTGTCTCAGGAGGGCGTGCTTTTTTGCCCGGCTGCTTTTGGGAATGCTGATGTGGCTTCCAGAGGCCGCCTGTGTGTTTTACACGTCTATTTCTGCTGCCATCGCTCTGATAAGCTGCTGCATTCCTGAAGCTGGCTCTTTCCAAGGCATTAGCTTTTAAGATTATCTCCCTGCAGAGTCAAAGAAAACCAACTAACATTTTGATTAAACATGAGGTCAGGCACATGATGACTAAGCCCTGGAGCCATAGATCAACATATTGACTAAAAGAGTCTTGTGTTAACTCTTCACTTCCTCTAAACTTTGTTCCCTAAACAAACGGCGAAAATGTTTGCAGGCCGTTTGAAAAGTGAAGAGGGAATAGAAGAAGTTTGGTGAGGAAAGTCTGGTTCCCCAAATGGTTTGATGACACTTCCCGTTGGGCCATTTATGAAACAACATGGAAAAAGAGGAGGTGTCGAGTCTTTAAGAGTTGCTTCCTTTTTAAAAACTAAGAATAGGGTGGGTTTGGATTGAAATTCATAGGATCTTTTATTCCGGATCCATTTATGTTAACGTTTGGGTGCATTTTGTGTGAAAACACAAGTTAAAACATTAGAAAACTTCTCCCTGTAGCTCATTTTCAAGTGGAGAATAAAAGATATGCTCACAATGCTCCACTGTGTTTCCCCTCTCATGCTTAAGCCCTAATGTCAACTGTGACGTGGTTTCAGGACATGATACAGGAAGTCACTCTCTTTGCCGCCATTTCCAGGAAGTGTAGCCCTCGGAGGCCCAGCATTAACCAACAGAACCACTCCCACGTCCTCACTTCCTGTCCGACTCCTCTGGCTTACAAAATGGCCAATCAAAGCAGAAAATGATCTTTATAACAGCTGTGAATGCACCGTAGAGTCGCTCGTATTTAAGAAGCCCTTTTTAATAATAATAACATACGCTGCAGGAAACATGTCAGATGTCTGTGGGAAGCTCCACTCTAAAAAGCTCCCATGTGACCCCTTTCTCACAAGCTGCTTTAGGGGGAGGGGAGTTTAAGGGAACAAAACAATAGCACACAATGACAAAACGTTTTTGATGTGCACTGTTTAAGCTTAAAAAAACTGTTCTCCTAGTTTTCAGTTTTACAAATGGTGATGTAGTTGGATTAGAAGTACTAATAGAAGAACATTTTTTAACCATTTATTGATTAGTTTTAAGAAAAACATAGATATCTTTCCTGAATGGAAGCTGACTTCATATATTGCTAAGTAATCTGTACAGCAAAGAGTGAGTGACGGACACATTGTTCTGCGAGTGGCGCTGGAAAAACATGACCAGTTGCTCTGTCAAGCCTCATAGGAATTTAAAAATAAAGTAAATATTTAGCAAACCCTCTCATTATGAGGTCAGCTGCAGCCTCTATGGAAACATGGAACTAGTTATTGTTAGTATTACACACAAGTGTTGGTTCACCTTAAGGCCACGTAAACGCTCCTTAGTGACACAAAGCAGTTAAGAATCAGCTGAAATGGATTTGATTTCAACACCAAAGGGTTGCTTTGTGATAGAGATTTTTGCACACTGCTTCTCCCAACATTTCTTTCAACTTTCAATCTCCTCGTGTGAAAGGTTAGTTAACACGACAGACGGTGTTGCATCCCGACGCCACATTTCCCCGACTGATGAGAGCATACGTGTTCCAGCCCTCAGCCTGCATGAACACATTGCCTCCACCCTCCATCCCCCCATCCTTCACCAGACACTAGAAATTCTTCAGGAGGGCGTGGGAGCTGCAGACTCTCTTCACAAGAGCCTGTCGATCACCACTGCTGCCTTTTTTTAGATCCCTGACAGGATATGAGACAATGTGACAGTTTTCTGTTAAGTTTGCAGATGCAGACCGGGAGATTGAAATACTCATAAATCAGGTTGGAGTGTTAATAAAGTAAAGATATACAAGAGGTAGAAGAAGTCAGGACTCTGCCCGTTGTTGGCGCTTAAGGTCATTTACAGCAGATCAAGACAGGCTTAAACTGAAGTGTTTGCTTAAAGCTGGTTTTACTGTGAATTTGAGCAGAAAAAGTATTAAGATTGTTACTTAAAAAAATATCAATATGCAGAGAATAATATTCTATAGAATTATAATGAATTTAAATGAACAAAATAAATTAATAATGATACATGTAAACAAATATTTACCATAAATAATAATAATAATATAGTAAATAAAATGATTTTAAAAGATATGTCTAAAAAACAAAATATCTTCTTTTCCCCCTCTCCACAGCGCGAGTGTATCTCTATCCATGTGGGCCAGGCCGGAGTCCAGATGGGCAACACCTGCTGGGAGCTGTACTGCCTGGAGCACGGCATCCAGCCGGACGGCCGCATGCCCGCTGAGAAAGTAGCCAAGGGCCCCGACGACTCCTTCACCACCTTCTTCAGCGAGACCGGCACCGGGAAGTACGTCCCCAGAGCCATCTTCGTCGACCTGGAGCCCACCGTCATCGGTGAGGAACTTAAACTCCTGCAAAAACCAAACGTCTAGCACTCTCAAACCTGGAGATGTTGCGTCACAGAACCTGAAGAAGTGGGGACACTTTAGTAAAACTAAGACAGCTTTAAAACATACTGTACCTTCAGATTTCAGGAGAACGAAGATAAAGGCAATAAAACGATAGACGAAGATTAAACCATCGTATCATTACCTATAATAACCAGTCAATGCCATTGATAAGAATTTATACTTTGACCAAAGTTCAATCCAGCAATTACATTTCATAAGTAAACGATTAGATTTTACATATTGAGTCACTGTTTTGAGTTCTATATGTATTCATTTCTATATGGTTTTTGCAGACATGGCACATTCAGCAAATTATATAAAGTACAGGACAATTTGTCTGTTAAAGGAAAGATAAATACCCATCCCCCTAGCTCCACCCCTACCCCATTAGGTCATGGTCACAGAAAAGATAATAACAATACAAATACATAAAATAATAAATACGAAAAATAAATAACTTTCATCACAAAGTCACAGGTAACAGGAATACAATACCTTGGTTGCTGATTGGCTAATGGTTAAACAACCCTAAAAAAAATCGTTATGACATCATAAAGTGCCCAAAATCTGATCAGCTCATTTTCAGACAGGTTTTTATATAAATGGATCAGGACAAAAAGAGAGAGAATCTTTTTTCCTGAAAGTTTCAGAATCTCTTAACGCAGAGGGGACACATGTTTATGTATAACAGACATGAAAAAGTGCATTTTGCATGATGGGTCCCCTTTAAATGGTACCATTAGTATTGACTATTATTTGCTTTTGTCCCTTTTATCAATTTCCCTAATATGGTGTTCCTCTGTCCTTCAGATGAGGTGCGTACCGGTCCGTACCGTGGCCTGTTCCACCCCGAGCAGATGATCTCCGGGAAGGAAGACGCCGCTAACAACTACGCCCGCGGTCACTACACCGTCGGGAAGGAGCACATCGACTCTGTGCTGGACAGGATCCGCAAACTGGTGAGAAAAGTCTTTATTTATGAGACTCTAGCAGTATAGTACTTGATATTCTTTATCATGCAAAATCCACTTTTTAATGTCTTTTATACATAAATATGTGATTCCACACTGGTGTGTCAGGGAACTCAATCCTCTCTCTTTTCCTCCGTACCCAAATCTCTAAAGACGGGGGTACAACGGAGATTGCGTCCGATATGACGTAATATCAGAAATGTGGGCTGGCTTTACACCCACGGCCGAAAGAAACGTTGCTATCAGAAACAATGCGCGATGTGTTTTGGACGTAATATGGTCTTTGTTTACATTAGCAAGCGTCGCTAACACTCAGAGCTAACCTGTACTGGAGAGAGTATGTGTAAAAAAAGCAGGAAATTAAAAAGGAACTCGCCTTGTGGTAAACCTGAGAGAGAAAAGGCATTTGAGCTCCATACTGTTTCAGAAATAATCCTTGATGTGGTTTGGAACATGATATGGCGTTTAATCACGGCAGCATTTAGCTGAGTATCTGGGTAGAATTCTCTAACAGGGCTGAAATAGAGGGATATGAGGGATGTCTAAAATGCATGATCTGTTTGGTATTTTGATCAAAACACATAGACATGTTTTTTAAAATATATTTGTATATATCTGAGACCCATAATATATGCCTAAAAATAGCATGAGAGGAGATCTTTAAGTCTCTTTTCCCCCTCTCCTCCCCAGTCTGACCAGTGCACGGGGCTGCAGGGCTTCCTGGTCTTCCACTCCTTCGGGGGAGGAACCGGCTCCGGCTTCACCTCCCTGCTGATGGAGCGCCTCTCTGTCGACTTTGGCAAGAAGTCCAAGCTGGAGTTCGCCATCTACCCCGCCCCCCAGGTGTCCACCGCCGTAGTTGAGCCTTACAACTCCATCCTGACCACCCACACCACGCTGGAGCACTCCGACTGCGCCTTCATGGTTGACAACGAGGCCATCTACGACATCTGCCGCAGGAACCTGGACATCGCCCGGCCCTCCTACACCAACTTGAACCGCCTCATCAGCCAGATCGTGTCCTCCATCACCGCCTCCCTGCGCTTCGATGGCGCCTTGAACGTGGATCTGACGGAGTTCCAGACCAACCTGGTGCCCTACCCTCGAATCCACTTCCCTCTGGCCACCTACGCCCCGGTTATCTCCGCAGAGAAGGCCTACCACGAGCAGCTGTCAGTCGCAGAAATCACCAACGCCTGCTTCGAGCCCGCCAACCAGATGGTGAAGTGCGACCCCCGCCACGGGAAGTACATGGCCTGCTGCATGCTATACCGCGNTGTGGACTGGTGTCCCACTGGTTTCAAGGTGGGCATCAACTACCAGCCCCCCACCGTGGTCCCCGGAGGAGACCTGGCCAAGGTGCAGAGGGCCGTGTGCATGCTGAGCAACACCACCGCCATCGCCGAGGCCTGGGCTCGCCTGGACCACAAGTTCGACCTGATGTACGCCAAGAGGGCCTTCGTGCACTGGTACGTGGGGGAGGGGATGGAGGAGGGGGAGTTCTCCGAGGCCAGAGAGGACATGGCCGCCCTGGAGAAGGATTACGAGGAGGTCGGCATCGACTCGTGCGAAGAGGACGAAGAGGGCGAGGAGTATTAACAAGCAGAAGTATTACTGTATGCATAGAGCCGTTTTAATGAAAGGGTCACAGTTCAGCAGGTTAGCTCCTCCAGCAGCAGGGTCAGTGTTCATGTGCAGTTTAAAGACTTCTAATAAACTCTAATGTCTCTGAGTTTGGGTTGTTGAGAAATGACTCTCGTACAAGAGAGAAAACGTGCTTTAACTTCCTTTTCTATGAATAAAGCTGTTTACACAAACCTATCTGACTTGCTGTTTATTATACTTAAAAAATACATTCTCAAAATATCTTCGCTGATAAACTAAATCTAAAACCCTAACCATATTAAGATGAGTTTTCTATCAGTCAAAGCATCTTGTATCGGCTTAAAATGGACAGTGACAAAGCTACCAATATATGGCGATCTTATAGAAACTAATGCTTTGCTGCATATCAAAATACATAATCAAATATAAAGGAATTAAAACAAAAACATCCACAGCAGTAAAATGAATTTAAAACAATGACTAAGTAGGTTTTGAATGATGGACTTAAAGTATTTCTTACAGAATATAATTATTCAATACACTTTAAATGTTTGCTGAGCTGTTGGTGCTTTGCCACAAGATGGCAGTATAGTGGTACTGTAGGAAGAAGGTCATTAGAACCACACGGTTTATACAAGACACACACACACACACACACACACACACACACACACACACACTGCTTTGTATGGATAAAAGCATGCAGAGGTGGGAGAAGTACTCAGATGTTGTACTTGAGTAAAAGTTGAAGTACCAGAGTGTAGTAAAATTCCTGCATCAAAAATGTTCCTAAAGTATTCTCATCAAAATCTAGTGAAAGTAGCGACAGTAAAAGTAGTCATTGTGCAGATTGGTCCATTTCAGAATAATAGATATGATATGTTTTATAATGATTGATCATGAAAGTGTTCTCAAAGCTGGTAAAGGTGCAGCTAGTTTGAATCACTTTGTATACTGCAGGGTAGCTGGTGGATTTACTCCAGGTGGAACTAAAGTCTGATTTAACACTTGATTATATTTCACATCATTCATCCACATCTGTAAAGTAACTAAAGGTATTAGATACATGTAGGGGAGTAGAAGTACACCATGTACCTCTGAACTGTAGTGGAGTAGAAGTATCTCCCAAGTTTTTCTTTTGGTTCTGGGCTGATTTCCTGCATAGTTCCTGTGCACTCCGGAGACAGATATTTGTCGGCTCAGGTCCTCACTCGGTGTCTGTCTCCGCTGCTGGACTGTCTCCCCTCCCTTACTTCCTCAGAGGAGGAGGCCTTTAGATTTGCTCTGTAATTGCTTTGAGGTAATTAAGGCTACATTTGAGCAGAGACTAGTCAGCGTGGACAGGGGATTTATAAAGGTCATGGAGGGCAGACAGAGAGAAAGACATTTCCCTTTTTTGTGTCTCCTCTTTTGTGACGTTTTCTTCTAATTATGGGTTTAAAAATAACATGGTGGTGACAAAAGGAAATTGAAGGTGCTGATTATCCACGTAAAACTGCAGCAGGGTCAGGACAGAGGGAGTTAGGGGGATTTGGTGAACATTTAAACATGATGTCTTAGTTAAACCATCAATACCTTAAGGTGGAGCATATATCAGAAATATAACTTCCTGGGGAAAATAAAACAAGTAAATAATGCAGGAAAAACATTTAAGATATTTCTTCAACCAATGAAGTTAAAGTAAAATGTCCAATAAAATAAACTTAAATCTAAATATCTGTATAAACGGAAAAAGTTAAATTAAAATTGTCTATATTTATATTTTTTAAGTAATTACGTTTTTTAGCAGCATCCTGAGATTTCTTGGGACATATCTGCCCTTTGTCCCCCTCATATTTTAAACTCAGCAACAAAGGATCTGAGCACTTCAACCGCTGCAGAACACAAACATATAAAATATATACATTCCTTTCTTTCACCCCCTTCTACAAAAATAAGACCCATAAGGCTCAGTCATTGTTCTTTAATATTAAAACAGGCAAAAAGTACAATACGCTTTTCTCTATTTACCCACAGTGTTTCCCCTCGAGGAAGAGAAAGCTAGATTCACAGTACAAACCCCAATAGAAACAATAACCATGACTTCACGTTATGTTTTTTAAAACTTGGACTCAAACATAGCAGCCTAGAACTCTACCTAAAATCTATAACAGCATGGAGGACGTTCCTCACTGTGATTTGTGTCTCTCTTGTTATGGCTTTGTGATGCCGTATTACTTAAGGAGCCTTTTATTGCAATACGTAAAGGATAAGCAGCCGGAAATGCACAAGTGGAGAGCAATTGCACTTGTTGTAATTCATCCAGAGAGATTTGAATTTATAAATTAGAACATCAGTTTCAGATTAAGTATAGAAAACAAAAATAATATTTAATCAGCCAAGGATTTAAAGCAACATAAGGTCGTCAAACCCATTTGGAGCAGTAGAAAATATAAAACCATAGAAAAGGAAATGGTACATATGATGTTTGCAGAAAAGATGACATTTCTTTGTAAAGTCTATGTATGGAAAACATTTAAAACGTCAGAGCATTCATCAACAATATCATTAAGCTAATCGAAAGTGAACATTTTGTGCTATGGGACAATACAAAAGTCACTATTTCAGGCTAACCAAAGAAAAGCTGTTATGAAATGATAATTCAATCAAATATAAATCTCAGATAATACTGACACGTTTTTAAAAGTGTTACACTGTACATAGATAATGATGTATTCCTCCAGCCTTTTGCGTATTTAGTCATAAATATTCATTAACAGAAATACTTGAGATCTGAAGCCACATTTGTTCTAACTTTACAATATTTTAAAAGAAGCATTTCAGGGTTTAGAGAGTGCATTGGCATTGAAACAAATGACTTGTGTTATCAACTGGTCCTCCAAATCACCATAAGAGTTTGTTGACTTTGAAAAAGGTGCAATAAAACAAAAATAACTTTTGAAACGTAACGTGACTGTAGGAGCTTTGTTCCACTGAGGTGATGAGCGACAGAAACTATATCTGATATGTTGAGAAGAAGCGTGTTTTGTCCATCAAGCTACAAGTATAAAAACACACACACACACACACACACACACACACACACACACACACACACACACACACACACACACACACACACACACACACGCACCATGTTCCCTCTCAGTCATCGCTCTTTAGTTGGCTGAGTAATGATGCGTCGAGCAGACAGCCTCTGAAGTAACCAATCAGGGCGTGAGTCAGCTGAATCTGGCTGCGCCTCGACAGGAAGTGTCCCTCGTCTGGGTAAATCTGTCCCGGGTAACAACAAAAAAAGATGACAGATGAATAAGTAAACAAACGAGGTAATTGAAAATAAAAAAAATGCATGCTTAGGGGTTGTCGTTTTTGGAACAGAGGATTAGGACTGCAACTACCTGCCACTTATTTTCTTGTTTACTCTTAAGGCATTGAAACAGACTTGAATGACTAAAGTTGGTCCTTGAAACATCCTCTCTATGTACTTCTCCAGCCACAGTTGAAGTTTACCTGCATGGTATAGTTGGCCCCGATCTTTATTAAGTGTTTGATGAGCTCCGCAGAGTGCTGAAAGTGAACGTTTGCTGTGGAGAAAAACAAGTGTGTGAAGTGAGGGTCACAGAGGTCATATATACTGCTGGATACAAAGAAGCCACTTCTCATCAGGGCCACAGCCAGCAGACTGCATCTAATAACACACAGTTACCTTGACAATAACATGTCTTTTTCTATAGGTAGAAAATATAGAGGCGTACCGTCAGCAGTGCCATGAGCCAGAAACAGAGTCGCTCCCTGCAGACTTTTCATGTTGGTCAGGACGTTAGAAGCCTGGAACACACAATCATCATCAGTGCTTTCTGTATTTACTACATTTTTGGTGTTTATGCTAAGCTAAGTGGCAACTGTCTGTATCCTCGTACCTATCGTGCAGACATGAAGTCATTTGAATATCAAAAACTGTTTTATTTGTTGATTTATTTCCGTCAGAGGCTCAAAATACAAACTCATGTTTTTACACAAAGTTAAACGCAGCCAATTAGTTCGGGTAATTAAAAATGGAAACACTAACATATTTGATTGCAAAGCAGTAATATGCAAAGGGGACTCAGATATATCCTTGTTCTTGTTTTTACCTGCAATGTAAAAGAGTGCAATTATAAAGTAGCATCATATGTAAATAATGAAGTAGTTTATTTTTGTAAATGTACAACTTTCATCTGGAAATTGTACCCCCTTCCTCTGACTGTACTTTGTCTTCTTTTACCTACAATATAAAAAGGAGTAGAAGTACAAAGTAGCTTCAGATAGAAATATTGAAGTAGAGTACAACATTTTGCACTTTAACAAAGTACTTCCTGTCGTGAAACCACCAACCTTTCACACACCTAGTGCAGAATGGGCCAAGTAAAGGTCAGTTTTGAAGGCACTAGAAATGAAAATGTATGTTTGGTGTTCACATTTGGAGTCTGGATGTAAGAGCCATTTTGATGGAGTGTCATGTTTGGGTTCAGGTTGTCACAATTGGGTGTTATCCCCTGTGTGTGCCATAGGGTCTCGCAGTCCAATTCCCTATGGCCAAGGGTATGTAAGGTTTGTCTTGTCACCTGATCAGGTGTGTCTGACTCCGGAAGGGCAAATGGTTTTGGGCCGCAGTTCCGCGAGTGCTGAAAAGAATGTTTGTTATGGACCGTGGACCATCGCACAGTGCCGGACGCGTTATATAGACAGGTATGTGCAGCGCTACAATGTTTAATGGACATATAACGAGTGTGCACACAAAACCTCAGCAAAAAACAAGTGCATTGGTAGCAGGAGTGCACATACAAGTGACTTTATATATTTTGCTGGAACAGACTATTATCATGGATGTGTGTGACGCTGCGTCTGTCGCAAATAGCGTCACATGGGACAGGTTTGCACGCTGCCAATAAACCCACTAGTGACCAGTGGTGTTGAAAGAGACTCAGAAACGGGTTGTTAAGCTCACTACAAAAGCGCAACTAGATCAAATAGATAGGTTGCAAAATTAAATAAAGAAATAAGCTAAATAATGCAAGCGCCATGATGAAGCAAAAATGTTTACATGGATTGCTGGAGGGTTTATTACCATGTGAAGAAAAATAAAAACATGAAATATGGTTCAAAGCAAAAATGTTGAGTGATGTTGAGTGTGTCACTGAAACAAAAATGTAGGTTTCCTTAAAAAAAAATGTGAAGCAACAAATGTTGAAGCTGAGGATGACATAAATCCAAATGACAGTGTGTCAAATGTTGCTAGTAAGCACTCCTCTGAGTGGAGCAATGGTTCTGCTGCCACCTCAAGTGGCATGAATCCATATTTGGAAAGAGAAAAAAAGCAATGTGGAACCTGTCATTTCTTTAAACCCAATGGCAAGAGAGTACAAGCAAAAAAATCAACAACAAAATCACTTGGAACAATCATCATTACCACGGCACAATCTACAACATCTGGATGAACGGCCAAAACAACCCATGCAATCATTGCAAACTGTTTCAAGGCATGAGTGCTTCATCAGCTCAGTCAAATGATGGACAACGGCAACAGACTATTGGTCATAATCCGCCTGGAGACATTATGTACGCTCATGAACAGGCAACATTAGATGCTCTGGTCCAGCAACAACATTTCTCATCTCTGCCACCAAGAGAGATTCCTACATTTGAAGGAGATCTTTTAAATACAGAGCGTTTGATAAGGCCTTGGAGCAAGGAGTGAGGAGAAAGGACAAAGGACTATCACTACATTCATAACACAACCCAGGGAAAGAGCAAAGGAACGTTGTCTCCACAGTAACAACTACGAACCTACCTCTTTCACATAAGAGAAAATGCCAGTGACCATGGATGACATAGTGACCCAGGAAGGGTTGGCTTTTCAAAGGTACGCAATCCAACCATTGAGGCAAATGTGGACCTGTTAATGGAAGCATGGGAGGTCCTCAAAAGCTGCGGGAATGGCCCGTATGCAGTCAGGACTGCGCTGGGATGGTCAATTAATGGAAACTTTGGAGCCAGGCATGAAGCAGGGTTTCCTTCAGTTTCAGTAAAATGCTGTGACTACCAAGGACTCGGCTGATCCTACTGACCAACTAATCCTACATTTCTCAGACTGGAGGAGAATCAACGTTGCAGATACTTGGTTGCTCAAGGTAAAAAAAGATCCTCAAGAACTTGAACCAAAGGAGAAAAGACGCTGAAGACCACTCATACAAAATCAACAGTTGGATAAGAGTAAGGTCAGAGGGGCACCTGGGGTTCAGAGAGTCTCAGCTGATGACCTCGTAGGGATCACATGTCAATCACATCATTTTTTACCGCAGTACCGCAAATAATGTTTGTTATGGAATGGAAAAGTGTCTGGACTTCACTTTGACGATGCGCAAAACCTGGTCAATAAATGGAATGAACTATTCCACACAACCTACCGATTCATCATTACAACACCACGAGCGGTATCTTTAAACACAGTAAAGTGCGTCAGCCAAGTCTTCCCCGGGAGTCGAGCCACCATGGGAGCTTGAGTATTGGGCTGGTGCCTGTTATATTAAAATATATCACAACCTCATCTTTCACTTTCCCTCCCCAGCTGGGATTCAAACGGGGGGAAATGTTCTAGACTCGCATCAAAAACCGGACATTTAATAACCCGTCTGTCTCTCTGAGGACAGGCGATGGTGTCCCGCTGATTATTGTGTGATCACCTCGCGCCACATTTTCTTGTTCTTTGGATGTCATTTTAAAAGCCCCCCCCCCTCCCCCCCTGCTGCTGCGAGTCACAGAAATAGCCGGCCCAGTTAAAGGCAACCCACTTTGGAGGAGAAACACGTTGACTACAACCTTCACACAGAGGACAACTGTTTTCTATTTAGCCTACACCTCTGGCTCTCTCCTGTTCCTCATGTTTGTGTGTTTTGTGTGATCTGTGGAGAGTTGCCTGAAATGCTTGTGGCCACATTTCCCTCTTTATTTTGAAACTCACAAAGCAGTGTGACCTCTACCTTGCCATGAAGAAAGGAGATTTTGTGGAAGGGAAAAGTCGTTTTGCTTCTGAAAGATATTTAAGTGCTGGTTTATTATAATGTTGACGCTGCACACCAGCAGCCTTTTAGTGACGGCTGGATGAACAATTGGTGTTCGAATAAATATGTTGCAAAAAAACAACAAAGCAGGTTTTCTCTAATGTGCTCTGAAGTCGGGTACCCTATAAAAGTTGCAAGATAAACTTTAGTGGTCTCTCGATAATTAAGTAATATGAAGAAATCCTATTTTTACTCCGCAAAATAATGACTCGTTGCTTATTTGTAATAAAAAACAGGATGCTTGATTAATGCATAATGTGATAAATTGATTACATTTCTCAGTAAAAGTGACTAAAAGCGTTGGAAAGCAGCAATGCTTTCCAATTTCATGCTTTGAAATAGTTATTTACTTGTATAACATATTTAGAAGGTTTAACGCTGCCGTAACTTTTTGAATGTATAGAAGATGCTTACTTGGTATTTGTTCTCCTCAGTCCAAGGTGAGCCAAGGTATCTCTCGGAAACCGTCGAAGCTGGAAAAGAAAGGAGGTTGTTTTTAATAAAGATGTGGAGAACATCAATAAAAACAAAGCTGTAGTTTATCTTCTCAGAGCTTCACAGCTCAAATAACAATGATTCTTCTCTCCGAGCCTGCCTTTAAAGCAGTTTTAGTACACGTTACATGAGTTTCAAATGTGTGTTTTCAAAATGAAAACGGCTTTATGCTCACTCGCCTCTGCCAGACACGAGGAAAGCTTTTCATCCTTAAAAATTCAATAAGCCTGAATTCCCGAAAGCGGCGCGTACGGATAATTAAAGCCACATTACAGACGGCGGGATAAAGACGTCCGCAGCAGAAGTAATAAATATTTCCATGTCCCTGCTGTGTGAATTAAAGAAGAGAAGATACGGGATTTCATTTGAGTTTTTTTTTTTTGGCTCACCGTACAAGGACCAGTCAGTGATGGGCGCCTGCACTGCTGCACACTGGATCAGGTTCTCTGTGGACTTCAGCATCATCAGCGCCAGGTAGCCCCCGTAATCCTGGTGGTAAAGGATGGTCAAGATACATCAGGATATTCTCTATTAGATGCTTGAATATATATACAAGTATGCACAGATCTTTTTACACTTTTCTCTCGGCTTTACTTCACCATTCAGCCCTCTCAGTACATTGTTTAAGTATATGTTTAAAATATTTCTCTATATTAAGCAAAACGAGTTGCCCTGGGAGATGAGAGAAAATCAGTGCTTCCTAACAATATATATTTAACTTAAAAAGAAATACAGTGGGGTGCTTCCTAAGTAAAGTAAAGAAAGAAAATGACGTCATAAAAGACTTCTGGGATCAGAAGGTGCATGCGCAAATTATTATCTCAGAATATTCCTAATGTTTTTTTGGTACATTTCTCGTAAATGTACTTTAATCTCAGTTTCCCCTTAGTTTGTTACCCCTCTCCCTCAGCTCCATCCTTATTTTCTTTGCCCTACAAAGGCCCTGATCCGTTGCACTTTATTTATTTAGCCTTGAGGGTGAATGTTTGGATTGATAACACGGACAAACCTCTCCGAAGACTCCCACTCGAGCGGGATCAATGAACGGCAGCTTCACCAGGTACCTGAGGCACACAGAGGAAACATTTCCAACAACACTCTGACGACCGCTTCAATTCACAGAACATCAAGTGGGCAACAGAGTAACAGTGTATCTTGTTTTTTATGTGTTCGTACGGCGACCTTGAGAGCCTTGAAAGACGCCTATATAAAATAAATGCATTATTATTAACAGCAAGGAGGTCAAAGGTCAGATCCACATGTGAGAGGGAGACAAAGAAATGAGGAAAAAAGCCCCAACTTGTGTTTTTATAACTTAAAAACACCATATTTTACGTGCATTTCGAACTTAAATGCGGCTCTTCTTCAAAAAGTACGTTATCATAAATGAGACACCTTGTTTTCTTACTCAAAAGTGGATTCGTCTGGCAAAAGAACGGACAGTTTTCTGTCATTGAAGACATGAAAGCAAACTCACTTTTAAGAAGCCATTTTGCTAAAAAAAAACAATCTTCCTGTAACGAGTGAACAAATATCAAAATTGATGCAATTTTCTGTCAAATTAAAGACATTGTGCATAGCATCAAATGTGCCTTTTGTTCACTCTGGGAAAAATAAGATACTTAGCAATACTTTAAAGGGAAACTGGCAAACCTTCAATTATCCAACAATGATGCCTTTCTTTCTACGTTTTTAAGTCTCCTATTCAGGATTACTTGCTCACAGACCGCTGTCAAAGACGTCTGAGATTTGTTTTCTCTATTAAACAATTGAAAAAAGGTGTCTCTGAAATCCTGAAGAGCATTATTGGAGCATTCAGGCACAAAGAAAAACTCTCATTACAATTCAAATGATTATTTGTATACAAAATACTTACTGCAGAGCGGCTATCTGGTCGTCTTTGTCCACCGTGCCGAGCCTCTGGTGGACCTGCTGCAAAACCCTGGGAAGAGACGGAGATAAAGGTGAAGAAAAGAGAGACCACCCACTCCCAGAACCATGTTGGACATTTAGTTACCTTTGACCTCTGAACCCTGACCCCCTGCCGTCCAGTCGTGCTACAATGACCTGTTCTGACCCCACCAGCCCCAGGTACCAGTCCAGCCTGAACTCATCCGTGACCCCCTGCCCCCCCGGAGAGCTGCCGCTGAGAAGGAGACACACGGAGAAAACCGTCATTTATTTACTTTTAACGTGAGGATTCACACAGATAACATGTTGTGTTGAGATGTGTACTATTACAAACTTTTTCTTTATTGAGAGCCTTTGGGGTTATAAAAGACTATTGCAGATAGTTGACCTAGTGCGTGTGTGTGTGACAATTATATAACATAAAGAAAAAAGTGTTTCATAATGAAATTAGCCACCGCTTCATCCAAGAAAATCCGTTGCCCTTTAAGCCCCTGTCACACTGTCCCGAAATTGACACCCGATGGACACAAGATTAAGGAAATGTTCAAATTCGGCTCTGATCGTAACAACATCGGGCCATTGGTGAGGGCATCTTAAGCCATCGTATGACCGCCGGTGGAGTTTCTCAGGCTCCGGCAGCAACTTCGGGAGTGGTGGCAAAATCTTTGGCATGCCAAAGATGGCTTAAGATGCCCTCACGAATGGCCCGATGTTGCTACGATCAGAGCCGAATGTTAACATTTCCTTTATCGTGTGTCCATCTGGTTGTTTTATTGCACAACAAAATCATGTAAACATATTATGTAAATAACCCAATTTGTTTTCTGTGAAACTAAAAAGGATATCATATATTATTTTGAAGGCGAGGAAGTTGTTGTTGCTATGGAAACAACATGACGGAGAAAACGTAATATCTTCTACATATAAAGACGGAGAAAGTAAAGAACAAAGTCTGAAAATATCAGTACAGTATCATAATACTTTAACA